TTTATTTTATTTTATTTTATTTTATTTTATTTTAAGTTTATTTATTTATTTTGATAGAGAGGGAGAGAGTACCAGCAGGAGAGGGCAGAGAGAGAGGGAGAGAGAATCCCAAGCAGGCTCCCCACTGTCAGCACAGAGCCCTAGGCACGACCCGGTGAGATCATGACCTGAGCCAAAGTCAAGAGTCTCAACCGACCGAGCCCCCCAGGTGCCCCTGAATTTGTTAGTATTTTAAAATACTTGGCGCAGTGCCTGGCACAAGGTAACTGCTAGATTGGGTGATTGTTAAATAGGAATATTTATATTTTCTTTATTTTGGGGGTCTGCCCCCGCTTACTAGAGGCTAGGAAGGGAGTTTGTTTTGTTCTATGTGGTGTCCCTAGCACCTAGGACAATACTCAGTAAATGTTTGTTGGATTTCCATTTTAAAGTTTATTTATTTATTTTAATTTATTTTGAAAGAGAGAGAGCAAGGGGGGAAGGGGCAGAGAGAGAGAGGGAGACAGCATCCCAAACAGGCCCGGGGCTCTCAGCCCAGAGTCCCAATGCGGGGCTCTAACTCACGAACTGTGATATCGCGACCTGCCTGGAAATCGAAGAGTCCGAAGCTTAAACAACTGAGCCACCTGGGCGCTCCTGTTGGATTTCCCTTTTAAAGATGAGGACATTGAGATACATAGGTATTTGTTTTTTCTCTTGAGGCTCGAGCTCTATCCTAGACCAAGTAGATCGCAGACTCTGAGGATGAGACTTAGGCATCTGTACTTTAAAATTTGATTTAAAAATGTTTAACTGTGAAATATTCGTAACATAAATTTACTGTGTTAACCATTTGTGCGTCTCCTGTTCAGTAGTGTTAGTTACATTCACGCTTCCCTGCAACAGTCTCCAGGAGTGTTTTCATCTTGCAAAACTGAATCTCTGTATCCCCTCAACGCATCCCCAGTCCCTGGCATAGGTGTGTGCCTCGGTGGTGAAACTGGGATTTGAACCCAGGTAGAGTGTAGTATGCGAGTAAATGAATGAAGGCAGGCAAGATGAAGCCTTGCAGCCGGGAGGACTGTGAGAAACCCAGGACCATACAGCCTCGGCTGCCCGGGCTCAACCTTCCGCCTCCCCCTGCTGCCTGCAGCTTCGGCCACCTTCGAGGACTTCCAGATCCGCCCCCACGCCCTCACCGTTCACTCCTACCGAGCGCCTGCCTTCTGCGATCACTGCGGGGAGATGCTCTTCGGCCTTGTGCGCCAGGGCCTCAAGTGCGATGGTGAGGGGAGAGGGGCTGGAGGCGGGGCCAAGGGGTAGGGGGCGGGCAGGAGGGTGGGGCTGGGGTGGGGTTCAGGTGTAGGAGGCGGGGCTCGGGGGCAGAGGCAAGGGCCGGGAGGCACCGCATGGGGGAGGAACAGGAGGTGGGGTGGGAGGCGGGGCTTGGGCGAGGGGCGGGGTCTGGGGTGGGGCTCAGCTCCGGAGGAGGAGCCTGAGAGGTGGAGCTCCGAGGGAGAGGTAAAAGGGGGAGGAGCGTGGGAGAGGAAAAGGGGAATGTGCGCGCGGGGAAGAAGGCGGAGCCTGCAACTGGGATCGACCAGAGAAACAGCCAGTAGGAGGTGCATATTAAGGGATATTTGGAAGGAATTCCTGTAAGGGAATTGTAAGCCCCTGTCAGGGGGAGTCTGGCTAAGCAACTCTGAAATCCATAGGGCAGCCGGTCAGGAAGGGCAGGCAGAAGCTGAAACTGCTGTTCACTGGCAGAATTTCTTCATCTGAGAAATCTCACTTCTGCTTTTCAAACCTTTCTACGGAGGGAAACGGGCCCACCCAGCCTAACTAGGACACTCTCCCTCACTTCAAGTCATCCGATTGCCGACTTGATTCACATCCACCAAACACCTTTACAAGCAGTCCCTACATTTCGTGTCTGAATTACCGAGGATGCTAACCTAGCCAATTTGACACAGGCACCTGACCATCAGAGTCCAGTCCTTATTGACTTGGCACCTCAGTGGGCCAGGGCTGTCATAACCAAATACCACAGGCCGACTGGCTTAAACAACACGTATTTATAACTCAGAGTTCCAGAGGCGGGGAAGTTTAAGATCAAGCTTCAGACAGGGTTTGGTGCCTGGTGAGGACCTTTTCCTGGCTTGCAGATGGCTGCTATCTTGCCGTGTGCTCACATGGCGTGTGGAGAGACAACAACTTCTGAAAGGTCTTCCTTTTATAAAAGACCCCAATTGCGTCGGATCAGGGCCCCACCTTTATGGCCTCATTTAATGTTAGTTATCTCCTTAAAGGCCCATCTCCAAATACAGTCACATTGCGGGTTAGGGCATCATCCTATGAGATTGGAGGGGCGGACACATGTTCAGTCTACAACAAGCACCCATGCACATGTCTTTAATTTTATCATACTTAAAAAAAATAAATAAATAAAGGAACACACTGTGTGTTCCTTTAGCCCAAATGTCTCAAGGTTAAGCCCGAGTGTCAGGTTCCGCGGGTCCACTCTTCCTATCTTTGATGCTTCTGAGGGAGAGCGTTGAGATCTCACCCCACCTGCAGATGAAGGTCACACACCCGCCTTGACTCTACACACAGCAGCGGAAGACCATCCGTTGTTCGAAGACCGTCTGCCCCGCCATTGTTTGTTCAATGTGAGCCTCTATTAGAGGCATGTTTTCCGATATTCCGTCATCCAAGGATCTCCAGCTTTGCGGCTGTCATGCTCAAATGGAAATCTAGAGTCTGGAACACCAGATGACCTACAGAATGGACCAGAGTTGTTACCATGCAGCCCTAAATAGAATTGTGGCGTTTAAGGACTCTTCGGATAAGAGCCATATCAGGCCTACAGAAAACTGATTCTGTGCGTTCAGAGCTGCTGTCAATATTGCTCTCATGCACACACCGTATCCAATCCTTTTTTTTTTTTTTAAGCTTTTTTATTTATTTTGAGGACACCATATCCAACTCTTGACGTCTTGGCATCTGGAAGGTTTCTTTAACGTTTATTTTTGAGAGAGAGTGCCCACGCGGGCGCTCACACACACAGTCATGTGTGGGGAAGGAGCAGAGACACAGGGAGAGAGAGAATCCCAGTCGACGCGGGGCTCGAGCCCACAAACCACGAGATCAGCTCAGCTACCGGCCTAGAAGGTTCCGGGCCAGGTAAAGAACCAGGAGCAGGTGAGGCGCTCCTGTCAGACTTGACACCTTCCGATGAGGGTTTGATTCTACCTTGATACTCACACACGGAATCACGGATGAAACTCTGAAATTCCAATGAAGGACATGAGTGAATAAAGGTCAACGCTGGAAAGTGTTTCCCTGTACACAACGGCCATTTGCCATCCTGAAGCTTTTCTGGTAGCACCACCTTTGGGAAAGCCCATGACCGCCGGGCTGTCAGAAGACGGGCTTCACGAAGCGTTCCCCGAGAAGCTTCCAAAGGCGGGAGGAACATTCTCCACTCCAGAACAGAGCGCCATCTTGGAATCATTTGGAGTCACTGGAGGTGTACTAGAGTAAGGCTTCGGGAAGCCTCTTAGGAAAACAAGCTGAGTCTGTCCAGGCTTTCATGGACGAGGATTTTTATTTATTTTTATTAAAATTTTTTTTCTTTGAGAGAGAGTTGGTGGGGGGGGTGCAGAGGAAGAGACACAGAATCCGGATCAGGCTCCAGGCTCTGGGCTATCAGCCCAG